CCTGGGCAAGTCATTTAACCTTGATTGCCTTAGCTTCCTCATCTGTAAAATGAACTGGAGAAGGAAATGGCAAACCATTCCAGTATCTTTGCCAAGAAAACCCCAAATGGGGTCACAAAGAGTCTGACACAACTGAACAACAATCTATCTTTGGTCTGGAATTGTGATTTCATTAGTGTAAGGAACTCCAGTCAGGAAATTCTGTCTACCAATGTAGAGCTGCACCTAACTCTTTAGGACATTTTAGTCACAAAAAGTTGCCTGGGTCACTAAGAGGATGAGTGATTTGCCCAGGGTCACACAAGCATGATGTATCTGTCCTACCACTAAGGGTTGTTGTGAGGATCAAATAAATATCTGTAAAAGCACTTGGCACTGTGCCTGGCATGTAGTAGGCCCTATCTATATAAATGCTCACTCCTTTCCCTCTACTGACCCTTAATGTAGTCTGAAAGACGTTCAGGATCTCAAAGGGCAGCACAAGAAAGCCTCCAGACAGAACAAAATTGGCAGAGTAGAAGCTTCTCCCTGAAACCAGGACCCAATTTTTTAACACCACAATTTTTCCAGTTATGTTATATGGCCGCAAATGATGCGGCCTCTGAAGAATTAAAGACAGAAGTCATCCAAAGAGCAACGGAGACACACATGGTAGATGTGAGTAGGCTGTAGATGGGAATTACTTGGGAGAAGTGGTATAAAAAATGCTATCAGGGTGGGTCATGTACCAAGAGTGCCTGTATGTTCCATTGGTATCCAAGCAGCGTCCATCTTAAACTGAACGTGTTTGAGGGAAGCCACATGGTTTCCATTATGCAGTAGACTAGCTCCAGATTGGATGCCAGAAGATCTAGGTTTGAACACTGGATGTACCACTCTACCTTCTGGGGGAGCTTGGGCAACGTTGCTTCTCACTTTGCTTTTATGTGAGATGAAGGCACTACATAAGATGCCCTCCGAGTTCCCATTCCTGCTCTGAGTGTATGATTTTATGACTAGGTGTCCTCTAAACTCTCTTCCAGAACTAAGCCTAAGCCTATGACTATGCTAATGAATGCCAATAATATTAGCAGGGCCAACAACAAGGGTAGGACATTTATCCTTGGACTACTATGTACCACAATGAATACAAGGGGCAACTAGGTGGTACAATTGATAGAGTGCTGGGGCTAGAGTTAGGAACAACTGAGTTCAAATCCAGCTTCAGACACTTGCTAGCTGTGTGATCTTAGGCAAGTCATTTAACCTCCATTTGCCTCCTCAACTGTAAAGCTGGGATAATAATATCTAGTTGTGAGGATAACATGAAAAAAAATTTGTAAAGCACATAGCACAGTGCTCACATAGTAGGTGCTATGTAAATGCTAGCTATTATTATTAGTAGGCTTCTTACCTATAGCTATTTTGCCAGTACTACCAATGGTGATGGACAAAAGAGGGCAACAACATTCACATAAATTTCAGTTGTTTCCTTTGGGGGTTTTTTTGTTTGTTTGTTTTTTGGCCATTCAATGATTTGGCTTCTCAACAAATACAGACTGTTTCCCATTGTGGGAAGTGTATAGTGGAAAGAGCAGTAGAATAGTAGTCAGAAGACCTTCCTTTCAGTTCCAGATCAGCCAATTATTACATATTATCTTGGATGAGTCAAAATTTCTGATCCTTTCACAACCTTGGATAAAGGCAGAACTCTTGACCAAAAAAGAGACGGAGGATAACATAAGAGAAAATGAACAATTTTGGTTACATAAAATTGAAAAGGTTTTGCACAAATGAAATCAATAGTTAAAATTTATTTCTAAAGATTTTATTGATTCTTACTTAATTGAACTTAAATACCAAATAAAATAATCATTTTCATATATATAGGTCCTCATCGAGGTCATCATGCCCCCCCACTTACCTTGTATCCCAAAGGGCTCTGTCCTTAGCTCTCCTCTCTTGGTGACCTTATCATCTCCCATAGATTTAATTATCATCTTTATGCTTATGATTCTCAAATCCACCTAATCTGCTGACCTCCTCTCTGCTGATCTCCAATTTTACATCTCCAACTGTCTTTCAGACATGTCAAACTGGATGTCTGATAAACATCTTAAACCCAATACGTCTAAAACTGAACTTGTTATCTTTACCCTTAAACCCTACACTCCTTCCACCTTCCTAACCTCTCTATTACTGTCAAGGGTAATCTTATGCTCCCAATTCCTCAGGCTCACAAGTTAGACTCCTCACTATCTCTCACCCTCTAAATCCAATCGCCAAAGTTATCAATTTCCCCTCTGCAACATCTCTTATATATGCCTCCTTCTCTCCTCTGAAGCTACTACCACTCTAGTGCAGGGCTTCATCACCTCATTCTGGACTATTAAAATATCATTGTTGGAACTTCTGCCTCAAGTGCCCCCTCAAGCCAATCTGTCCTCCATTCAGCTGCCAAAAAGTGATTTTCCTAAAGTGCAAGTCTGATCATGTCACCCTCTACCCAATAAACTCCAGGGGTTCCCTTCAGGATCAAATATAAAATCCTCTGGCATTTGAAGCCCTTCAAAAGTGCCCCCCCACCCCTTTCCAATCTTCTTACACCTTACTCCCCACCATCTACTCTCTGATACAGTACCACTGGCCTTCTTTTGGTTCCACAAACATCTGGTACTCTGGGCATTTCCTCTGACTGTCCCCTCAAGCCTGGAATGCTTTCCCTCATCATCTCCACCTAATGGCTTCCTTGACTTCCTTTAAAGTCCCAACTAAAATCCCATTTGCCACAGGAAACTTTTCCTAACACCTCTGCATTCTAGTGCCTTCCCTTTTAAAATTATTTCCTATTTTTCCTGCATGTGCCTTGTTTGCTGTCTCCCCCATTAGACTGTGAGCACCCTAAGGGCAGAGGCTGTTTTGCATCTTTTCATATCCCCAATGTTGAGCATGGTGCCTGGCACATAGTAGGTACTGTTTATGGACTGACGTAGTAAATGAAACTGCAGATCTCTATGTACAACTCATTTTTTAAAATATACATGTTATATATGACATATAAAAAAATTCAACATCTAACTTTCACAATTGTCCTATTTGTGATTCTTTCTGTTCTTCCTTTTGCTCTCTTTTGTGCATTTTACTTAAAAGATGCTTCAATGACCCTGACTTCTTTTTTGCCGCTCTACTCCAATCCTTTTTCTTCCTCCAACTCCCTTCTCAATGGAAAAGTAAAAGCATTTTGTAAATTGCGAAGCAATCTGCAAATGTAAAATGGTACTATGGGGTAATGGATTCAATCAACAAAGTAAGGTGTTTTAAGAATCACTGTTATTGACTAGATGAATGGATTGAATTTAGCTTTCAAAATGTTGAGATCTGATCTGCTTGGTTTACGTTGCTGCTGTCTCCTACAATCTGTATCAGATCACAAATCCTGCAGGGCTTCAAACAGTAAGAATAAGTTATCTTCTGGTCTCTGCAGGGGCTTTTGTGGATGAACCGTACATGATTTAACCTAAACTGTCCTGATTTACCAATTAAAAACCTCTCATTTAAAAAATGAAGTTGGTTTTCCTTTATATGAGTGATTTTCAAAGGCTGTGCCATGCATGAGTTATGTTAGGTGTGCTGTGAAGTTGCTGATTTTGTCATCTAAAAAACAAAGCATAAATAATTTTAATACAAATTTTACTTACCCAGCATACACCACATGATAAGAATAGTTTTCACACAACAAACAAAACTTGCCTATTATGCTAACCTCAAAACACATCAGACCTTGAACTCCCAAAGACCTCAACAAAAACAGCTGCTATTACTGAAGGAAAACTGCAGATGCTCCAATCTCCTTATTCTCCCATAACGTTACCAACTTAACTGCTCAATGTGCCGTGGTTCCTTACTACAAAGCATACTGAACCATGAGCAAAAAGTTTCAGAACCATTGTTTTACATTCTCTAAAGTACTTGCTAGCAGAACTAACTTCCCCATTCAAATTTAAAGTTGTTAGGGTTTCAAAATTTTAAATCGTGTAATTTTCACAGAATCATAGAATTTCAAGTTATAAGGAACCTCCCTGGCTATCTAGTCAAAAACATACCTGGAAAAGAATCCCCTCTCCAATATGCCTGCAAAGGGATAATCCCATCTCTTGCTTGAAGACCTCCAGGGAAGAGGAAGCAGGCTTTCAGAATGAGCATTAACACCCCAGAAATCAGCAAATGCTACATATCAGGGCTTGATTGGTTTAGATTTAAGAAAGTGGAGAAAATGTTAATAATACAGATGAAACTAAAAGTGTGTTGTGAATACATTTTTTATTTGAGAGCCAGTTAGTTGTGAAGCATATACCAGCACTGCTTTGGGAGGGAAGCAGTACCGTCTAAGGCAGTCCATTTAACTTAGCGACAGCTATAATTGTTGGGATGCTTTTCTTTTCCTTTTCCTAAGCTGAAATCTGCACCTCTGTAACTTCTACTGATTGCCTCTAATTCTTTCCTCAATGGCCAAGAAGAACAAGCCAAGTCCCTGTTCCATGTGAAATCCCTTCAGATACTTGTATTAACCTGCCTTGACACAGTATCCTGAAATACTCTGGGCTTTGCCACCTGCCTTGCCATTCTGCTCCTCTAGCTACTGGCCACTGCCATCTGACACAGTGAAGTACCCTAAGGACCCACCAGTGAAGACTTCAGCATCAAATATGAAATCCTCTGTTTGGCATTTAATGCCCTTCAAAACATTCCCCCAACCCCCCCACCTTTCCAATCTTCTTACACCTTACTCTCCCCTCCCCCCACAACTACTCTTTGATCTAGTGACACTGGCCTTCTTTCCATTCCACGAAATCTGAATTCTAGGTCTTTCCATCCACCCTGCAGCTGAAGTCTTTTTATGTGTTGCCTCCCCAAATTAGTGTGAACTTCTTAAGAAGCTCTCATTTTTTTTCTTTATCAACATCCAGGATTTGTTACAGTGCTTGGCACTTAGTAAGCACTTAATAAATTTTTTTAATTCATTCATTCATTTATTCTCAACAAGCATTTATTACACATTTGCATTATACATCAGGCACTGTAAAAGGGATTGGGGATACAAAGACAGAAATGAAAATAACTGCTTCAAGGAGTTCACATTCTATCTAGGGAGCCTGATAAAGTCTCCCTCAGCCCACATATCCAGTCAGTTGCAGCATTTCTGGCATTTAACTCCTATGTCTACTAACACAGTCAATACTTTAGTTCAAGGACATTATCATCTCTTGCCTGGACTATTGCAATGGCCTCCTAATTGTCCCTCTCCCAACTCAAGTCCATCCTCCATGATTTTCCTTAAGCACAGATTTGACCATGTAAGAGATATTACACCACAGACATGAATAATCTGCAAAGGAAGTAGGCTAGTCATGAATGAAACTGAGAAATAACATGTTGATGGGTAGCTTGCACTCACAGCTAAAAAAATTTTAAGTGAACTATAGTAAGATGTCCAGTGCAATAGATAGATCCTCTATAGAGACTTTAGAGAGACATGGATAAGAATTCCACTGTGTGTGAAGGCATAGTAAGGAGCTGCTCTTGCAAAAAAAAAAAAGCATAGCCATCAAAGTAAGCTCACAGAATTTCCACGAGACTATAAAATACAGAGGAAATAAAATGTAAGGAAAACTATTTTTGGATAGAGATAGACAGCTGGTAGGACCATTATGTATAAGTTTGAAAAGGAAAAAGAAATGTTTCAATACTAATATCAGCAGACATCTAAACAGTTTTGCTTTAAAAATGATATGTTAATCAGGTAACTATTCGATCTTTACATTTTTAGAGCATTCTTTCAAAATACTGAGTCATATCAGATACCATCTGAAAACAATGGTATGTGTTCATTGTACTTTTTAAGGGAGTTGTAAATGCATTACTGTTGTTGCTGTTATTTAACGCTTTGGGTCAAAATTTGTGGAAAAAAATAGACATCACTATTTCAAAATCTTATTATTACACTTCTAATGGTCACTGTAGACAAAACATTATAGGCTTTCACATTTATCCTTATCCAGATTCTTCTGTATAGGAATGCTATATTAATCATGCCCAATTACAGAGTAAAGGGGCTTTAAGTACTGAGATTTTTGGAAATAAAGTGACCAAGAGAACAACCCAACCAAAGAAACAATCTGGGTTCCTAACAGGTTACCATAGACCTTATCTACCAGATGAAGCACTCTTAACCAGGGGTCTGTGAACTTAAAAATAAAAATAAAATTGATAACTATATTTAAATATAATCAGTTTCTTTAATAACATGGATTGTTTTATGCATTTAGACATCATTCTGAAAACGGGTTCACAGACCCCCAAAGGGGACCCTGACACACAAAGAGGTTACAAACACCTATATTAGAGAGAGCACACTGCCTGACAATATTAAGTTTCTCAAGATGCACATCTCTGAAAGTACAGAATTTAAGTCCAGTATTGCACTTTCAGAAAATGGCTCCAAAGGTTAAGCTGTCAATCTTATTCTCAGGTCACTGGACATTTAGGAGCAAGGATATTGATGTTCTCTTTTCTTCTTTTTCTTTTTCCTTGCAACAGTTGCATGATTCATAGATTGTCCTTTAGTGGTCTCCATTTTCATCTTGTTACTTTTTTTTTGCTTCTGTTTCCTGACAGCCCTGCAAAACAAGGTGTTAAATTATGTTATAGAAAAAGCACAGTGAATTACAAACACACTGCCACCCAATTAACCAGCTAACCAAATAAGCAAGTACCAGAGTTGAAAGAATTTACTGTATAATATATGCCCATAAAAATCTAACAGTAATAACAAGGAGTTAGAGGCCTGAGCAAGCAAAACGTTGCTTGGGAAAACAAATTTCTTTGAAAGATGGTTACTAGTGATTCAGATCAGTCTATCCAGAACAAACAGCACAGAGTTAAACAGACAGGCCAATGAAAAACTATTTTTTAACATCCATACTGCTCAGCTCAGCACTTCAATCTTCAAATCCTTGAATTACATTTTCTAGAAAAAGAACTAAGACTTGGGAAGTTAGCAGAGTGAAAAAAAAATGCAAAAGCATAACAGATGGGGATGACAATTGAAGGGCCCATTTTATAAGCTCTCTAGTTAATTTTCCATTCCTTATTAAATCCAACAACTCTGACAAATGCTACACAGAATATATAAAATACATGGTCACTGTCTCCTGGAATCTTGCAGTTAGTTTAAAGCAATGAATAATGAATACCAATGACCTAAAGAAGGATTAACTTGAAACTTGCCCTACAAGAGTATGAAACCAGAGTAAAAAACACTGAACTTTTCAATCTAGTGTTCTCCAAACTGACATTAGATTGTTAGCCCTTTGAGGGCATGGACTGTCTTTTGCTTCTTTTTATATAATATCTGGCATACAGTAGGCACTATATAAATGCTTATTGATTGACTGATATGAGCCAATTAGTGGTTAAGAAAGACTTCACATAAACAAAATAATTTTGTAGCTTATCATATTTTTGAACAAACTTATATGTTTATGAATTTGTCACGAGCACAGTCTAACAGCAGTGTCCACTTCCCATAGTTATTCTATAATAAAAAGAATTGGATTCACTTTTCACAAAACACAGCAAGTCCCAGGATACCAAAGGCAAAGCTTTTTCTTGATGTGTCAAAGGTGGTAACACCTACATCAAGGGCTCAAGTGTATTTAAAGACTTCACAAGCTTGTCAGCTACTCCAACTCAGCTTGTATCTGATTCCTTTATCTCTTCACTGTGGTTTTCCCATCCTTCCTTAGAAGTTATGTGCTTTTGATTGAAAGGGTCTAGGTCAGTGATAGAAGGTAAGTAAGAAAAAAAGAACAAAATGAAAAAAAGTATAGAAAGGTAATACCATCTTTTGCTTTAAAACTACTAAAGTGTCTTTTTAAGCAAATGCAAAATTTTATAAATTTCATTCTAAATAGATAATGAACCTTCTATCTATCCCCAAAATCTGAATATGACCCTCAAGAAAATACTAATGAAAACCACTGCTATAAACTGCTTGGGGGGAATAAAACTCCAAACATTCTGCAAGTGAATGTTTTCTGCTCAGGTGGCCTGTGTTACAGATCTCTGGGAAAGCACATAGGCTTTTTATTGCTATGCTGCCATGTTCTACTACATTTTTAAAAATAAGTAACTGTATTCAAAAGCTTTTTAAGCTTAGAAACTTTTATCCTAAAATATTTTCTTCATTTCAGTCATGTCTGACTCTTTGTGACCCTCATTTGGGGTTTTCTTTCTTTCTTTTTTTTTTGCTAGGCAATGGGGTTAAGTGACATGCCCAGAGTCACACAGCTAGTGAGTGTTATGTGCCTGAGGCCGGATGTGAACTCAGGTCCTCCTGACTCCAGGGACGATGCTCTATCCATTGCGCCACCTAGCTGCCCCCATTTGGGGTTTTCTTGGCAAAGATACTGGAGTGGTTTGCCATTTCCTTCTCCAATTATCTTACAGATAAGAAAACTGAGGCAAACAGGGTGTAGTGACTTGTCTAGGGTTACACAGCTAGTAAATGTCTGAGGCTGGATTTGAACTTACTTCAGGCCTGGCATTCTATCCATAGCACCACCTAACTGCCCTAAATATTTTCTAGTCTAGTCAAATATGATAAATGTCTTCAAAATACCTAGCCAAACAGAACGAAAATGCCTAGCAAGTACATTTAAATATCCCAGCCAGCCCTCCGCCCATTCACTTGCTAATTCTCTACCTCCTGGAAGTAAATAGAGGCAGACAAAAAGCATGGCAGTGGAATAATGACGAGAATTTGGCACTCCAATATTAAAAACATGCTCTTCCCATTTAGGGTCATTGCCATGGAAAATAAAGTATGTGGAGAAGTAAAGAGTCAACGGCCTGGCTACCTTGCATGGTACACAAGAGTGTTGGCCTTAGAGTCAAAAAGACCTTGGTTCAAATTCTGTCTTGTGAAACTTACTAGCTATGTAATCATGGACAAGTCACTTAAACTCTGAGTCTCAGTTTCTTCATGTGTAAAATAAGAATAATAACCATATAGTACCTATATAACAAGCTTGTTGTGAAGCTCAAATAAGATGCTATTAAGCTTCTGGCAGCTAGGTGGTGCAATGGATAGAGTGCCAGGCTTGGAATCAAGAAGACCTGAATTCAGAACTAGCCTCAGACACTTACTAGCTGTGTGACTCTGGGCAAGTCACTTCACCCTGTTTGCCTCAGTTTTCTCATCTGTAAAATGAGCTGAAGAAGAAAATGGCAAACCACTCCAGTATCTTTGCTAAGAAAACCCAAAACGGGGTCATGAAGAATCAGATGTAACTGAACAACAACAACAAAAAGCTTTGTGAATTTTAAAGCGATATGTCAGTAGATATTATTGTATTATTACTGTTGTTGCTATTCTCATTCTTCATCTGAGGAGTTCCAACAGAGGCAGTCCTATGACAGGTTACTATCTTACTTTTGTTCTTTTGGGTCTAATGTTCAACAAGGTGGAGAAATGATTATGTTTTGTAATTGGATAACTGTATTGGGATATAAGCTTAACTTCTTCATGATCACTGAAAATAACTTCAGGATATTTCTACTTGCAGACAGAATGACAGCAGAGTTTCATACTTCATCCTATTCTCAAGTGGTTTTAATTTCTTCCAACAACAGGTCTTTATATTTTGAGAGCTTTTCACTCCCTTTAGTTGAGGAATTGTAGTATTTGGTCTAGGAACATTTATTAAAAAACATTGCTTTTCTAAATAAATGTTCCTGTAGCTAATAGGCAATATGAGAGGGTCAAATTCACTGTCAAATTGTACAACACAGCTGGTTTTCATGTTGCTGCTGTGTGTTGCCATAAATAGATGATGTTGGGTATAACTTGTATATGGCTACACTAGCTTTTCTTAACCTTTTACAGGTCAATGGTATGTCCAAGTGACTGTGGGTAACAATTTAGTTTGTGTTTATGCTCCAGTTCCAATATTTGCTAATTTTCAAGGATATTTGGGGGTTTACATTTCACAGAATCACAGAATTTGGGGAACAGAAGGGACTTCACTGGCTATCCAGGCCAATCCATACCCCACACAAGGAATCCTCCCCTACAGCATTCATTTGAAGTGGCCATCCAGTCTCTGCTTGAAGACCGACAAGAAAGGTGACCCACCATGTCTCATGGTAGAAAGCCACTTAACTTCTGGATGGCTCTGACTGTCTCCAAGTGAAACCTAACTTTGCCTCTTTCCAACTGACACTCATTCCTCCTGGTTCAGTCCTCTAGGGCTAAAAAGAACAAGTCCAATCTTTCCTCATGACAGCCTTTCAAGTACTTGTACACAGCTTTCATGGTCCCCTACATCTTCTCTCCAGGCTAAAAAAAAACTCCGGTTTTTTCAACCAATCCTCATATGGCACAGATTCAATGCCCTTCATCATCCTGGTTGCCTTCTCCTATATGCTCCCCTGTTTATAAATATCCTTCTTAAACTGAAACGCCCAGAACTGAACACAATACTTCAGACAAATCAGATAAGGCAGAGTTTAAGGGGCCTATCATTCCTTATCCCTAGAAGCTACACCTCCCAAAATGCAGTTTAAGATTCAATTAGCTACTTTGGCTGCCACATCATATTGGTGACTCATACTGAATTTACCATGCATTGAAATTGTTTTTGAGATAAACTGCTGTCTAACCATATCTAACCCACCTTGTACTTGTTAATTTGATTTTTGTGTGTGTGTGCCCATGTATGAGACTTCCTATTTAACCTTCTTGAATTTCATCTTATTAGATTCACTCTAATGCTTGTATGTCAAAATTTTTTTAGAGCTTGACTTATCTAGAGTGACAGCTATCACTCCCATCTTAAGTGTCATCTGTAACTCTGATGAGCCCAGAGTTTCAGCAACTCTACTTTATATTTCCCTATATTTACATTTCATAGTATAGTTCAGGAGAAAAAAAAATCTTTTAAGTTTTTATGTGCCAGTTATATAACCACTGTTTTGCTTAATTTTTTTAAACACAATAGATATGGGAAAATTTCCTAATTAAAAAGTAAAGACTTAGCAAGAAAAAGAAAAGAAAAAAAAATAATGGTATAGCAAACTCAGTGATACCTTGAAAAAAACCAAACTCAATTTTGTTTTAAAAATATACCTAGTGGGGCAGCTAGTTGGCGCAGTGGATAGAGCACTGGCCCTGGATTCAGGAGGACCTGAGTTCAAATCCGGCCTCAGACACATAACACTTACTAGCTGTGTGACCCTGGGCAAGTCACTTAACCCCATTGCCTAGCCAAAAAAAACAAAAAAACCCCATAAAAATATACCTAGTAAATGGCCATCAAACCCTAAATTTACTAGTGATAAAACAAGATTTTCCAGAAATAAAGCCCATAAATATTATGGAAAAATAAGACAATGAATTAACTTATATAATCAATCTTTTTCACATATCCTACGAATCGATACATATGCAATAGTTCCCTTTCAAATTTTATGATTTTTTGGGTAAATTTTAAAAATTGGATAGACAGCCACAAGAGGGAGTCAGTCTCATTCCAGTTCTTCACAAAAGAAATTAGCAGCTATAAAAATGTGTTTGCTTTTAAAATGGTATAAGTTTATATTCACAGCAAAAGGGCATGAAAATTCTTGCTAGAATTACAGAATCTTTTAAAAAACATTTCAAAAATAATCACTTCCCATTTTAGCCTAGAAATCAATAAAACTCAAGTCAAGAAACATATATTAAACTCCTACTATAAACAAGGCATTGTAATTTCACTATAATTAAAATACTCTGAAAGTAATACTTAGGGTTAATTGGGAACAATAACATAAGCAGGAATCTTCAGGGAGAAAAAAAATAAAGTACTATTTTAGACTTATTCAAGCATATCACTTCCTACAGGATTAATTCTTTATATCATACTGAGATGATGAAATCTCCAACAATGAATAAAATTGAGTAATCTGAGTTACTAAATGATGTCCCTCAATTAAAGTGCTATGTACTGCCATCAAACAGGCCACCTGGGAGGAAATTCAGAGAAACAGAATGATTTACGAGAAACAACAAAGAATAAAAATGTGTTGTGAACATATATAGTACATTTTCAGGCATCCTGTTGTTCAGAGAATCACAGAGTTGGAAAAAACTCAAAAGGCAAAGTCCAGACAGTCTGCCATAGCAGGACTTTGTTTAAATTATCCAGACAACAGAATGTGTATCTTATTCCTAAAGAGGTCCAAAGAAAAATATTCTAATGTGATTCTGCTCAGTTATCTTGAAGTTACTATGACCTGTATGACAAGGACAAGTCACTTATTCTTCCTGGGTCTTAGTTTACTTACTAATCTACTTAGTTTGCTTACTAATCTTACTAATCTGTAAATTGATGGAATTTGATTGGATGATCTCTAAGGATCCCTTCAAGCTTTAGTTATGATTCTGTGTTGATTTAACAGAAAGGAAGATTAAAATCAATAAGAAGTGAGAACTAGTAACAGAGGATGTGAAGAAAACTGAAGAAAAATAACAATAGCTCACATATACAGAATGCCTTTAGGGACACAAAGCAGTTTCCTTGTAACAACCCTGTGAACTACTTAGCATAAAGATACTGCAGTACTTCAATGAATCTAAGATGTCACTTATATAAGTGTTCTTTGAATGATACTGATTGCAACTGATCTGTATATGTCTATCCCATGCCCCTCTCTTCCACGGCCTCCCATAAATCTGCCCACAGAAGGGTCCCTCCCACCCAGCAACATGCTGAGGAATTTTTCTTGAATTCTTCTGATACCCTGATGCTGGGCTGTCAATCAATTTTTCACTCTTACAGTATAACCTGTTCATCTTTTTTGGTTGTACATTTCTGTGATGAAATCCTTTACACTGTTTCTGCTCTATAACCCTTGCTTACATAATGTGTCGTACAGCCTGCTCATGCCAACCAAAGTTCCTTTCCACTAACCCTCTGGATGATGCTCAACTTTAATGACTCACAGCCATGAAACAAAATCAGAAGAATATGGATGTTATCAATATGGGCCTTTATTTCAGGGAGAAGATAGGGATCATTAAAAGAATTTAGCCATTTCCCAAAGGCAATCTAGTATACTTTTCTCTTCCTGTTTAATTCTGGGCCTGACTCAGTACACATTTGCAGTGTCTTTGAAAGAGATAAACAGATGGATGGATCTCTCTCTCTAGAGAAACATATCTATCTATATAGATATAGCTACTTCTATAGAGATAAATCTTGCCAAACACTTTTAGATGATTATGGATTTAATTTAGGAAGAGGATCTGCAATGTAAAGGGATTTGATACAATCAATACAGTGTCAACTAAAACCAGGAGTATCTGGAGGACTTTACCAAGTACAGGGAATTCCTCTTTGATTCGGACTCTGTGATGCATTCTCTTTTGTGACAATGATGAATCCCTTTAGTGAGCATACATCAATAAATCAATAAGCACTGATTAAACATCTACCAAATGGGAGGTACTATCTAAGCACTGGAGATACAAAAACAAAAAATAAAACAGTCCCTGCTCTCAAGAAGCTTATATTCTCTTGGGGAGACTATTAAAATGAAACAAGGACAATATAACTACAAGGTGGGTAGGGAGGGCAGGCACTGACAGGTTAAGGATCAAGAAAGAGGAGTAATGTGTAATGAGAAATCCACAGGAAAATCATTCTGGCAGCTATATGGAGTATAGATTGAAGTGGGAACATACTTCAGGTAGGGGGACCAATTAGGAGGCCACTGAAAGTCCAGATAAGGGGTAAGGAGGGCTTGAATTAAGGTGGTGGCTATGTAAGTACAGGTAAGTGATGTTATGGAGGTAGAACTACTGAGATTTGGCAAATATGGGGTGAAGGACAATGAGGAGCTGAGGATAAAATTGAGGTTACACAGCTGGAATGTGGAAATATGATGGTGTCCTCAACAGAAACATAGATATTTAGACAGAAACATCTTTCTGTTTGATATTAATAATCAGAGAGTGTTCAAATAAGTTCAACTCTATTGTTATATCTTAAGAAACCTTGAATAAAGGAGAATAACACAACCTCTAAGGTCTTTTTCAGGTCTGAAAACATTCCATGTTTCCAGAAACTAAGATGTCAATTTAGCATCTACTTAGCTGAAATAATAAGGTTTTTTCTAAGTAGCTTATTGTCATTACTACAATATCTCACTGTTAAAACTTGTCTGCAAATGAAGGTTAGGGAGAAGAGGGGAGAGGCATTTTATGGGGGGTGGGAGGTATGTGGGGGGGAATAAAAGGAAAACTATAGAAAGAATAAAAATAAACTTGCTTAAAAATCAGTACATATACTGTAAACTTTTTTCTTAAGCTTGACAAAGGTATAACCACATTTTCCATCTTCCTACTATGTAAGTGATCATAATAAAATTATATGAAAAACTATTTAGTATCTTCTCATAAATAGAAATAATTGATTTAACATGTTTAAGTTTCTTGACCATTTAATAATTTTTAGCTATCTTTACAAAATTACTTGAGAAAAGTATGAACATCATGGTTTTTATTTCCTAGTAAACAAAATAATTCAAATAATTCAACTAACTTGTTAGCTCTTTTAGATGTAGAGAAATTAGGACACATAGTACGTTTGTGATCTGCTTCACCACATATAAAGCAAACATCTTTAGCACCCGCACACGAATGGTTTGGAAGTGCACAGTAATTGCAAATGCTGCAGTGAATCCAAGCTGCAAAACAAAAATTAGATTTTAGAATACAATTCTAATTTAATACACTGTTGAATTTTAACAGACATTAAGATATCTTACTTTAAGCAATGTGATGACCAGGTCATTTATTCACTTAACTTAAAGTATTAGTGCTAAGGTTATAGATTAGAATACCATGTGGATAAAATGGCTTTATCATATTATGTGACCATATACTATATGTATCTCTAACCAAGCCAACAATATTCCTTCCAAAGTGCCATTAGTCATAAGGGACATTAAAAGGCTCTTAACTAATACAAATCCATCACTACCATTGAAAATGAAAACAAATGTCCTACTGAAAAAAATCAGTTGTGTTGACTTTGTAAAATGCAGGAGATGAAACACACATATATATATATGTATGTATGTGTGTATATATGAGTGTGTGTACATATGGGTATATGTATAGATGCAGATGCACACATACTATAGATACACACATATATGTACACACACCATATATACATACATAATATGTCTGTTAAAAGGGATGACTACTATCTGATGGGAAGAGGTTATAGTGGGTAGTTATAGATGTGTAAAACATAGCACCATGAAAGCATATTTTAATGTACAGAAGAAAAAAGGAAGAGAAGGGGACATAAATGTAGAGAACAATTTTTTACTACCTTGTTAAATTACAGATAGAGGTAGATTATAATTATTATATCACATATTTGAATATTATAACATACATGTTATGTTATTATATATGAACATATATAATTATAATCTCTCTCCTTCTATTAAAAAAATCTGTACAGAACAGAAGTTTAGTTTCCTATACAATATTCTTTCCAGTTCTTTGTATATTGAAATGTTTGCAGTTGTTAAATTCACAATAAAAAAAGGAAATAGTAATAAATTTTTTTTAAAAACCTAAAAAAAGGAAACCATATCTTTGGTTTTCATCACAATAATGGCAAACAACACAGAGGTCTTCAAACTCCTAAATTACTTATTTCTCTATTAAGAAATATAATAAGAAGTGGCATAGTGGACACACAGAGCCAGTCTTTAATCCAGGAAGAACCTGGGTTCAAGTCCTACTTCTAATTTCCACTAGCTATGTAATTATGGGCAAGTAACTTAATCTCTCAGTTTGTCAAGCAAAATCTCTAAGAACAAGTTGCCAATCAGCAACAGTGGAGATTTTTCATTCCAGAAGTTCTCTCCTCTGATGAAATCATAGGTTCCCCTCCCCTCCATAAACCCACCATAAAACAAAATCAATGTATTGTCCAGATGAAGCAACATACTAAAATTTTAAATGTATCAAGACCATTAAGTTCTTATATATAACTAAATTTATAAATGGCTATTTTCTTTTAAATTTAAGAATTAGATTATGAGTCAACATTACTCAAAAATACACAACTTTGCTGTCAAACCTCCTAATGATGAGCCCATTGGTACTTAGTTAAACTGGTCTTCATATGGCAATCTATTGCTATGCCTGCTCCAAAAGGATTTCCATCTAAGTAGACTCTCCCAAATGTTGTGGTCCAAAGGCATAGTTTTTGGAACAACTAGGTAGCACAGTGGATAGAGCACTGGCGCTGGAGTCAGGAGAACCTGAGTTCAAATCCAGCCTCAGATACATAATAGTTCCTAGCTGTATGACTCTGGGCAAGTCACTTATCCCCAGTTGCCTCACTTAAAAAAACAAAAACAAACAAAAAAAACCAAAGGTGTAGTTTTTTCGGAAGCCAGAGTCACCTCCTTAGACAACTGCAATGAGGCAACAAAATAGGTCTTTTGTGGCTCTTAATTACAAACTCCCACAAAAAGAAGGGCTTCGTTGAAATTCGGCTTCAATATACCGAAACAGCCTTGAATATAAAGAATCTGATCCAAACATATTCAAAACAACTGATAAACACTGGAACCCAATTTCTCAAAATTCAGTAAGTACTTCAAAAAAGGGATGTATCTTGGACTCAGTCTAAAACGCTCATTATACTCAGTCTCTACCACAGAAACAAATTATTAGAAAATGTCATACTCTAGAGACAACCAAAAGAAGCTGATTTATTTAATTTTAATTTTTTTCAAGTGAATATTTTTATTACTACTAAGAGAATAGCAAATTAAATATAATTATAATCTTTCAAAGAAAAAATATTCTCCAGTACTTACAGGGCTTGACACATTTTTTGCAACGAAGGCAATGCTTCCACCTCCTGCCATCCTACCAAAAATAATTTTTTCAAAAGGATATTATTAGTTGGTGTTAAGCATGTCAAATGCTACAAATCAAAATCAAAATAAATCTTACAAATGAGAGGATATTATGTATACAAATTTAAATATACCATAGTTTATTTTTCCCCCAAAAAAGTTTGCAGACGAATTCAGAACCAATTAAAAGAATATATATCCTTATAAAATATATGTTACACTGGTTACATATAATGACCAACTTAAAGGCTGAATATTAACTAAACAGTGTAAGTTTCAAAGTTCCTAAGGGTGTGCCCTACCAATATTATAAGTTACTACTCATTTTGGAGAGGGTGATAGGTGTTTACTGTGCTTTTATGACACAATCTAGTTTTTCTTGTTATTTTAAAGATCCAATTTAATGCTAACTTCCTAAAGAAAACAATATTTCACTGGACCACAGACATGGTCATTATTATCATCAGCTATCAATCATTTTGAATATGGTACTACACTGAGTTCTGCAGCGTTGTCATTGCTATTAGGTGTGCTGTAAAATTCTACTGCCTTCCTCAAACAACACATAACAAAAAATAGCTTCTCAGACAAATAAACATCAAATCTTACATGTTTCACACACATTTTATATACATATACATACATACATGTGTATCTATGCATATTATATATATATACACACACATACACTCACATATATCAAATAAGCATTTAAACAACATGAAACATCTTACTTTAGATGTACATGAATTGCAGATCTCACAGTGTTGATTCTCTAAAGAAACATAACGCTGACACACAGTACAAAACCTAGAAAGAGACAGAATTAATTTGGATAGTCACTTACAAATATTTATTTAGTTTTTGTAGGGTGCATGAATAGCACTACATGAAACACTACTCATACCAAATGAGTAATCTATGAATTCATTTAAAAAATGAAATTGCACAAGGAATTTAAGTTTAAAAGGGTAAATCCATTATAAATGAGTAGGCTGCCAAAAATATTTACTGATCTTGAAGTGTAATTTTATTGTAATAGCTCAAGGAAACTTGAGTCTCCTTAGAACCCTTACCTGTATCCTTCTTCTGCTGGAAGAATTATTTTGTTGGGAGGAATATTGGTGAAAATACGCACAGGAGACTGTTTTCGACCTGTTTTTCCATGTTTATAAAGTGCATGATTATCATAATCTACCTAGAAAGTTAAAAATGCAAGCACAAGAATTTATTTAAATAAAAGAACATACATTGTTATTAAAGTCAACAAATGAATGTAAAAGCTATTTAATAACAAGTTATAAATTAAAGCAAATTAAGAAAAGCCATAATACTAAAAAAATATGAAAAAAGCAACAGTTAATTTTTAATCTGGTGACAAGGAGGCCTACAGTGCAGTGAATTGTCATTAGAAGATGGTGAAATTTATTTTTTATACATAAAAAAAGTTAAGCAACTTGTCAAAAGTAACAGATAATGAACAGAACAATTGTGATTTGAACCTGGGAGTTCATCTGAATGCAAATCCAATGATGCTCCTTTTACATTTTAACTTTTGAAATTTTTTCTCCTTACTGAGATTTTATAAGAATTTAAAACTGAGTCCCAATCCCAGAAAATCCCATCTTTTCACTGCAATTGAAGAAAAAAAACCCAAAACCAAAAAAAACCCTGGTCCAAAGAAAGTTAACAGGTGAATTTTATCAAATATTTAAAGAGGAATTAATACTTGACGCTATACAAATTAATCTCATAGATCAAGAAAGAAAGCATTCTACAAAATTCCTTTTATGAGACAAATATGGTCCTAACACCTAAACCAGGAAAGGATAGAGCAAAGAAAGAGAACTACTGATCAATAACTTTAATGAATGTAAAAATAATCAAATAAAATCCTGGCAAAAAGACTACAGCAGGGGTTCTCAACCTTTTTTGCGTGTCATGGACCCCAGTAGCAGTCTGGTAAAGCCTAAGGATCTCTTTTCAGAATAATATTTTTTAAATACTAAAAGAAATGCTAAATTTCAGTTCGACGTTAGTGAAAATAAAAATGGAATTTTTTCCCATCCAAGTTCATGGACCTCAAGACTATAGTGAGATGTGTGTGTAGTAGTGAGTGCATGTGTGAATGTCTGTGTATTTCACTATGAACAAAAGCTGGATTTCTTGTCCCTCCCATTGCTAGTGCTTTCCCTCTGAAATTACCTTCCAAGTACATGATATAAATCTTGGATTTATATAGTTATTTGCATGTTGATTCCCCCTTCGGAATGTGAGCTCCTTGAGGGCAGAGACAAATTTGTTTTGGCCTTTTTTCAGTATCCCCAAGGCTTAGCCCAGTGCCTGGCACATAGTTAATGTTTAATTAATGCTGTTGATTAATTTATACCAGGGATTCAAGGATGGTTCTGACTTTTTTTTTAAAGTCAGTTTATGATTTCATTAAGGTAGGCAGTTCCTGGTAAGGAACTTCTTCTACCAATGCAGAAGATTAGCACTATCTCTGCAGCCTGGTTGCTTGGCTGAATTAAAAGGTAAGTGATTTACACAGGGTCACATACAGTCAATACAATATGCATGAGAGGCAGGACTTGAACCCAGATCATCCTAACTTTGAAGCCAGTTCTCTATCAACTATATCAACTACGTCTTGGGTCAACATTAAGAGAACAATTACCCTAAGTAATCATATTAAAAACAAAATACCCAAAACCACACGATTATGTCAATAAATGCAAAAAAGGCCTTTAACATAAGTACAACACTCTTTAATGGCAAAATTTTAAAAAGCATTAAGCAGAGAGGAGCTATTTTTTAAAAAAAGTATCTATCTAAAACCCAAAGCTAGTATTATTTGCAAAAGTAAAGCAACTAGATTCTGAGAGAAATTATTATTTCTCTCTTGTATTAATAACCAATTATTGAATTAGGACTAAAGTTTTTCCCCTTTTCTACTTCCTTATTCAGAAGTCAGACCCTAAAGTTATTCAGGCAACCTTTGAAGTGCTGGGCTAATAGAGGGAAAACTCAGATCTGTTCAAAAGATAAAGAAATTTTAGTTTAGGTGAACTGATGGATTCTGGCCCATTGTGTTTTACTCAGACAGGTCTGGGGAAAAAGTGAATTCTCCCTTTTGTCTAGATTACCCTAGGTGGGGTAGGTATAGATAAATCTCTTTGACTAAGACTTAGTGATCAGTCATATTTGCCAGCTCCTCATTAGAATAGGCCCACTTCTCATTTATTCATTCTTCTCACTAATTGTTAACTGATCAGAGATGATCACCACTCTCAGGAAGACCCACTCTTCCAAGGGCATATAAGCACTGAGTGGGTTCCATGAGGGGTCTTTGACATTCAAGAGTGTCACTGACCCCTTTTATTAATTATATGTTAGGATGATTGATAAAATGAGCAATTACCCAGAAACTATGTTTCTTAAACTTTTTATATGTCATAATTCTTTCTCAATAAATAAAGAGGAAAAATAGGGATGCCTCTTCTATCCCCACTATTATTTGATCTGGTTCCAGAAATGTTAGTGATGTCAATAAAACAAGATAAAGTAAAAGCAAACACTTTGGCAAAAAGGAGATAAAATTCTCCCTATCTGCAGACATGTTAGTTTATTTAGAAAACTCTGAAGCATCAGCAAAGAAATTAAGAGACCATTAATACCTTCAAAAAAGCAGAATACAAAAGTCTATCCACAAAAATCAACAGCATTTCTGTATAGCAATAACAAAATCCTAGAGGAAATACTAGAAAGGGAAATTTCATTCAAACTAATTATAAAATGTATAAAATATCTGGGAGTCAATTAACCAATGCATACTCAAGACTCAGGTAGAAACAATTACAAAATATTCTTTAAAGAAATAACTCAAATAATTGAAGGACTGCTATTACTTATCTACCTCATATTTTTACGTATCTCAATTTACATATTGCAGATTTACATATCTCAATATGTAAAAATCATTATCATATATACATAGACAGGTGGATAGAGTGCTGGACTTGGAGTAAAGAAGAACTGCGTGCAAATCAAGCATTAGACATTTACTAATTGTGAACCAGTAAGTCACTTAATCTCTGTTTGCCTCAGTTTCCTCATATGTAATGAGGATAATAAATGGATCTTTGTAAATCATTTTGTAAAACTTAAAGCACTTTGTAAATGCTAGTTATGATGATGATGAAGATGGTGGTGGTGGTGGTGGTGGTGGTGGTGGTGGTAGTGATAATGATATAACCTAAACTCAATTACAGATTGAGTACTACACTAAACTACCAAAGGGGTACTTTATACAATTAGGATAAGTGATAGTAAAATTATTTCAGAAGAATAAAAGATCTAGAATCTCAAGGGAAATAATGGGGATGGGGGAGTGGGAATAAAGGGATAATAGCACTTTCAAAAATCAATTTATACTATAAAGCAGTAATGATCAAAACTGGTAATGTCTAAAAAATTAAAGAGTAGATAATACAAGAGATTAGAAAAGCAAGAATCAGAAACAAATGAATTCAATAGCTCAATGTTTAGCAAATTCAAGAATATAACTATTTAGGGAATAACTTTCTACTTAACAAAAACTACTGGGAAAACTGAAAAGCAATTGGGGAGAAATTAGGTTCAGACCAGGAATTATGCTGTATGTGACTAAATCAAAAGAGATATAGAGTATAAATATATAAGTTCCCACCATAAGAAAACAGAAAAGAACAAGATCAGCTACTTTTTACTACTATAACTATGGAGAGAATTTCTTAACAAAAGATCAAGGAAAATACAAATGATAAAAATTACCAATTTAACTTACATATAAATGAAAAGCTTTTGCACAAATAAAAACCAACACAGCTAGGTTAAGAAAGAAACTATTAACTGGGTGAAACACCTTTGTGCCAAATATCTCTGATCCAATATCAAAGATACATAAAGAAGTAACATAAAAATATAAAACCAAGGACCATAAAGTAGACAAAGAAGGGAGCTCTTTCACAATCCAGGAAGAAATAACAAAAAGGCAAAGCTCATTCGAAGTGACTTCACTTTCAACTTTGCCCCAGTGCTAGTTAGTTAGAAAGAGGGTCTGAGGTGCTAGGACCAACGGTAGGGAAAAAGAGAAAAGAACTACACTTCACCTCTGTTTCTCATTCCACCTCAAACACTGCCCGAAGGACTGTGGCAGAATCAATGTCTACAAGCGGGAAGGAGAGAAAGGAAAACCCTATCCAATACTGGCTATATTCTGCCTCTCTATGCCACACCTCATAACTACTATTCCCTGTCCCACCATTACCTACAGTCCTTCCCTATCCTTAGTTTTCTAAACATGTCCCACTACATATCCCCAAATCTTGACTCCTACCACGCTGCTCCTATCCAAAGGCACAGGAACTACTGCCAAAGGACTAGAACTAGTTAGCTCATGTTCCTCGGGGAGATGTCTTGCTGGTATCTCATGTCTCAACTGGGAATACTTTTCCCACAGAAACACTGTTCTAAACAGTGGTCAGGTTCTATAATACTATCAACGCCAAATTTTAGGTACATTCTATTTTTGCTTTCATGTCTTGGAATGCGTGTATGTATATGTAAATATGTATATATGGTGTATATATATATTGTATAGGTGGACATATACACATATGTATACATGTCACACATAGACATGGTATGTATTTATATTAATACGTATCTGTATATATATAAATATGTGTGTGTATACACATACATATATGTATACATATATCCATACTCACAAATACACACAAATTGGGCTTGTGGGTAAAGAAAAAGTACTTCTAAGTTAAGAACTGATTTACAAATGAAATTTTGGAAAATAAGCCATTTGTAATTTAGGGATTTACTATATGTATCTATTTCAGTTGACACAAGATTCCAAGCTTGCTCCTTCCACATTTTCCATGGCTGAATGAAAAGTGCTAAACCTGTAATATCCACACTATTGGTTAAAATCACTTTGAAGCAATGTGATGGAATGGGAACTAAAATGGATTTGGAGTCACAGGTGCGTGACTTTAGAAAATGTCATTTATCTTCTCTAAACTTCAGTTTCCCCATCCCTGAAATGAAAGACTGGGATTAAATCATCCCTATGATCTCTACCAGCATTAAGTCCCAAGATCCTACAAAATGCTTTATCTCTTTATTAAAATGTTAGGGGGG